GATATGCCACCTTGAAATATGGTATTTTACTATTGGAGAAAACAGCAGAAGCAAGAAGGTCTCTCTGACCTTTGCCACTCTCTTCTGAAGTAAGGCTCAGAAAATTTCTTTGACCATTCTCTAAAATAAGATTTGAGATCCTTATTCTAGAGCCTTCTATCCTGTATGATGACACATGAAAGGATCTGAACAAGCAGATGCAGCTAATTTACTCCCAGTGTGTTTGTTTTCTTCTTTCCTTCCTCTTTCTTTTCTTTTTTCTTTATATTTCTTTCTCTTTTAAATAAGTATGTACTCAACTGACAATGAGTTAATGGAGAGAGTGGGACACACACACACACAGAGAGAGAGAGAGAGAGAGAGGGAGAGAGAGAGAGAGAGATCTTTCATCCACTAATTCACCTACCAGATGACAATAGCCAGAGCTAGGTTGGGCTAAAGGCAGAAGTCAGGAGTTTCTCCTGGGTTCCCCACATAAGTGATGGGGCCCAAACATTTTGACCATTCTCTGCTACTTTCCCCAGGTTATTACCAAGGAGCTGGATTAGAAGTGGAGTAACTGGGACACAAGTTGGCACTCATATGGGATGCCAGCTTTGCAGGCAGTGGCTTTAGCCACGACCTCATAATGTCAGTTACTCCTCTCAGTTTATTACTACTAGATCATAGCCTTTTGTTTCCAACCATACTTCTGCATGACTGTCCATAAAAACAGACTTGTTTATTTCTTTCAGGCCTCATTTATGAAGGAGTTGTGTCGTGTAAAATTTATATTAAATAAATTCATATGCCTTTACGGCATCCATCTGTGTTTTGTTGTAAGGATCTCAGTCATGAACCTAGCTATGGGTGATGAAAGATGCTTTTCCTCCCTCACAGTTTTCACATTCTGATGAGGCCCCTAATGGAGCAGACAACGGAAGTACTAGGGAGGAAGGATCAGCTCATATTTTCTTTTGGTAATTGGCCTTTGAAATGGGCTCACTTCTACCACCTTGTGTCCCTCAAATGGGGTGGCCTCCCAGCGCCCCTCCTCATACCCAGCTGAATGAAGGTACAGAAAAAGCAGGGGCACGTCTCTTCTAAGGCTCGCTCACACAATACATTGATGCTTCTTTCTTGTGCTCTCGGATTATTTACTAAGGGGAAACCTATCACCATGTTCTAAGAACACTGAGATAGTTTATAGATCACCTTAGATAGCAAAGAATCCTGCTTTCTAATCGCTGTGTGAGTGTGACAATCCTACCATCAGTCAAGCCTTCAGGCACTGCAGCCACAGCTGGCATCTTGCCTGCTCTCACTCCCAAATTAAAGACTTAAAACAATTGTTTGAGGGAACACACATGCGCGCACCCACACACACACATATTTGGTCACTGAACTTTGGGGCACTTCCTCATGCAACAATCAATAATTGTCACAATCATTCATTCAAGTTAAATTAAATTCTAGAGATTAGGCAGAGCAGGTATTGATAATTGGGTTAAATGTTTTCCATGAAACTTGAAGCATCTATGGAATACTTTTCTATTTCTACTAATCTGTGAAATCTTTCTCTGTTTCTGTTGGCATACACATTGAGGTGATTCTAGCAGACTTGATCTCAAGAGATGCACCATCTTGTCTGAGCTTGCAAGTCTGGTTAGATGATAAGAACTCAATTTTTTTATCACGAGCCCAGGGTTTTTGTCACTGTGTTGTGCTTCCGTGCATTCAAATGGATTAATTTAACCTCTTTAATTTGTATAAAATATCCACCCCCTTGATGAAGATCAGTCATTTTTCTTGTTAAGAATTACTCATCTAGAAAGAAGATAATAGGCTACTTGAAAGAGTGGGAGACAGTTTGAATGTTAATTATAGTAGGCTGAATAATGGCCCCCAAAGATATCTGGGTCCTGTTCCTTGAACCTCTGAATGCTGCTCCATATGGCAAAAGAGATTTTGCAGAGGTAATTAAGTTAAGGATCTTGAGATGGGGAGATTATCTTGAGTCAGCCAGGTAGGTCCTAAATGTAATCACAAGTGTCCTTATAAAAGGAGGTAGACTGAGATATGATAAAGAAGATGAGATATGATGAAAGAACAGGGAGAGATAAGGTGATGCGATGCCAGGCCATGAGCCAAAGAATGAGGCTATCATCCATGCTAGCAGAGGTCAAGAAACATTCCTGCCTGGAGTCTCCACAAGGAGCCACCCCTATTATCCCTTGATTTGAGCCAAGGTGACTGATTTTTTGGACTCCTACTGTCCTGAAACTTACATATGTACGTCCTTTAGGCCACCAATTTGTTGTACTGCGATACAGCTGGCATAAGAGATAAAACATATATATGCCTCTTAGGTCAAATGGATCCTAGATCTGTTAGCTCATAAAGACAATTCTTCTAAGACACTGTATTATTATCTATAACACAGTCATGGTTAAAATACTTCACAGGATTTTTTGGAGAGTGAATGCATGCTCAGCATAAGATTTGGCAGTTGATAAGTTTGCTGTTGGCTGTGAATCACATCTAGACTACAAGATCTCAATATTTATATGCTTTCGTTTTTTTTTTTTAACTGAAGTATTAAGCAGTTCTAAGACTATGGGAAGTTCTAAGTATGTATTAATTATTCTATTATTCTAATAGGATATTGGAGCCTGTTAGTTTCTTCATCTGTAACTATCCCTTCTCAAGAGTGTGGACTGTAAAATGACACCAAAGGCAAATGTGTAGGGTGACGGGAACAGAACCAAGAATGACAAAGCTGAAGATGATTTTAAAGGATCTGACTTATCTAATTTCTGAGTAAATGACACAGAACAGGTGAAAGGTTCTGCTGGTCGAGAAGATCTCTCAAGTAGTACCATGCACATCCTTTCCTGGTATTCCCCTAGGTACATGGGAGGCTGTTCTTCTTTTTAAAGAAGACCGTATTGTTGACTGCATATTCCTCTTTAGAAAAACAGTCTAATAAAGGAACACTTTTGATTTTGAAAATTGTCTGTGACCCCTTATTACCTAAATAAGCTGATTTCAAAGCTGCCATGGATTAGCTGCTCATGCTTCTAGGGCTGCTTCGGGATTACACTAGCAATGGAGCATAATATTCCAACCATTTCCCTAGTCCCTAGATTTTAAACATTCTTTTCATGAAAAGATTATAGCAATCATATTTACTTATATAAGCATCTATAATTCAGTTTTCTGTACATTTTAATATTTCCTGCTAAGTAGTAACATAAGTTGTATTCTGTTGTTTCTATACTCTTATCATTTTCATGTAGATAAAGTATTCTGTGGTTTCTATCACAGTCCTACTGGGCAAGAACAGTGTCTGCATAATTCTCTTGAATAGCATTGGCAGAATATCTTATGCAGTTTGATGATAGTTATGATGCTGTTAACGAACCCAAAGACACCTTTTTATTAGGGTCTGATGCCATTAGGTCTTCATCAGATATCTGTTCATTCATACAATGAAGAACTGAAGGAAAATTGTTGTGTTTTCATAATACACAACGATGTAACCAGGACAGTAATTTTTTAAAGTTCTATAAAATCTAGTCCTGTTACTCAGAGGTGACTTATGGAAATAAATGAAGTTGGCTCATGGCCTTGGCTTCTAGTACCAGCTCTAGAAAGTTATATTACTTGGCACAGGAGCAAAGCCAATCTGAAGTCAGCTGACTAGAATGTAATTCTCTAATGCAGAGACTCAGCTACCTAAATTGGTGATAGATCCAGACAACTCCTAATCAAAGTGGCCTTTCTTGGTCAACAGATGTTGTCAGCAGAGACAAAGCTCGCCTCTCCTTTCTTAGGTCTGCCTGTGAACAGTGGGTCCTAACACTTCCCACAGTGCTGTATGTCTTAAAAGTATCAGTTAAAGCAAATTCTGGCTGCTTTGCTTCCAATTCAGATTTCTGCTAATACACCTGGAAAAGCATTAGAATATTGCTCAAGTACTTGGACCCCTGCCACTCATGTGGAAGATTTGGATGAAATTCCTGGCACCTGGCTTCTGGTATGTGCAGTCATTTGAGGAGTGAACCAGCAGATGGAAGATCTCTCTGACTCTGCTCTCACTAATTCTGCTTTCAAATAAATAAAATAAATAATAATAAAACCCTACCCCAAAGCAGAACTCAGACAGCAAATACTGTATTCTGTGATCCAGCTGTTCTCAGGTCAGGGTGAGTGAGGAATGAAAAACGCCCTCTCCAGACTGTGAAGACTCCCTTGCTCCAGAGACCAGGCAAGTGCTAGTCTTTTACTTTGGTAAGAAATTAAAATTTGATGCACAAGAGTCACAAAGAAGTACATTCAGAATGCTTATTGTTAAATAAAACAATGTGCGGATTTCAAAAATATTTTGTCACAAAACAAATATCTCAATTCATTTTCATGAATTTTTAAGTATCCACATTGCAACCTGAATTCCTCCAAGACTTACTGACCTCAGTTTACCAATCACAAATTCTCAGAGAGAATATGAAACTTATGTATTTGCACTTTGCACATGGATAAATACAATGCACAATCACTTCAGCCAAAAATCTTGTAGGTTTTGATGCATTTTGTCTGTTTGCATGAGGTCAACAATGCTTTCCTTTTCCCACAGTACGTACTGAGTGCTGTTTATGACAGAAGGGCAGTTTCCGCAGGCAGCAAACACAAAACACTCCAGACTTCTCTTCTCCTTTTTTTCAGGGACACCAGGAACTTGCTTGCGCACTGTTTTGCCAGCAACCTTAAATCATTAACTTAAAACCCTTTCTTTTCTTGCTTAGACCTGACACAAGCAACTGCTTTTCCGTCACATTGATTTTTCTGTCCTTGCAAATTCAAAGACAGGGTTGAGTCCTCCTAACAGGGTGAATTCTCTCACAAGGAAGTTTTGCAACCTAATTTACAGCTGGAGTCAAGCTTGTCAGTGAGTGCCAGAGGGGAACTGTCGCAATCAGCTGGTTAAGTATGCATTTAATAGTGTTTATCCAAGCAAGTCTGTGATTTCTTCACTCTCCCTTACAAATACGCTATTTGTAATACCTATCTTCTCCAATCTAGGTGTTTGAAAAATGTCTGTAACTTGTGTGGGCTAGAATGCATTTTGTTTTTATACAGGTGTATTCATTTAGCCAGGGTCACCTCTGAGGACCTATGAAAAACTGCTGGGCGTCTTTGCAAATCATCTCTCTGCAGTGACCATGTCTTAATCCTTAAGGAAAACAAGGTAATCTTTTCAAATAAACATTTTCAAGGATGTTTAGAAGGAACCCAATTGCTAGTACACAGTACCCTTCCAGTGCTTGAAAACAGTTATGTTGGCAGAGTACAATTACAGCAAGTTGGAGTGTTTGTAAACATTTGATATTTCCAGATGATTAGCAATAATAAGCTAAGTTGCAAACAAAGATTCAGTGTGTGTGTGTGTGTGTGTGTGTGTGTGTGCATGTGTGCATGTGTTCAGAAAGGCACTCAGGGTCTTGGTTTTCGATGCTGCTGAAGGCAAATGAGGCACAGAGTAGTTGCAAGCATGTATTATGTAATCAAATTGAAAGACTTCTGCAATATAGATGCTCCTTGATTTACCAACATGTTACATCCGTAGAAGTCTATTGTAGAGGTACAGGCAGCTTACTGAGCACCACGGTGTTGCATAATGGTACACTGTAGAGTCCCAGATGTTAACTGTTTCCAGCCTATTTTGAGACTGGGAGTTGTCCAGCATTGCAAGAATGTATCACAGTGTATATCACTAGCCTTGAAGAAGCTCAAAATTCAAAATTAAGAGTAGGCTGTAATTGAATTTCTATTCCCTTCTTGTTTAGCCTAAGCTTGGTAGTTTCCATTAGGGTAAGTTGTGTCTTGGTGAGAGTAGGAGTGAAATGAAGAAACATTTGCTTATTAAATAAAAAGGAAGCAATAAACCTAACATCATTGGTTATGTAAGAATTGTTAATACAATAACCTTAATTCTATGGAACTTAACAAAAAGAGTGAATTTGGAGTATGGATTGGACAAACAGTAAATTAGTTGGATGATGCAATTAATTAAATCAATAAGAGAATATGTTAGAACTTAAACTACTGACAACTTTATTTCATGTCAATGTTCTCTTTTACCTGTCTCTTTTCCTTTCAGATCTCGCAGTTTCTGAAAGACAAATCTTTCTTCTTACTTGGTATAGATATTCTGAAACTTAGTGCTTGTTCTGGCCCGAATCATGACAAAAGTAAGTGGTCTTGGTTTGACATTTTTGTCTGTCATTGCTGATGGGCCAAATGTCTAATTTATCATACATTGATTAAAGTAGCTGCATATTCATAGCACCTTTTTAATATGCCTTTCTTATACCTAACATAAACATATGATTATTTTCTTAAAATTTCATATAGTAGTGTTATTCAACAGAAATACAATGTTAACCATCCATGTAAGTTTAAACGCTATATAAGATATTTATATTACGTGATAGATATGATTCTAAGAAGTAACCATATTCCCCTAATGACTTTAAATACTCAAATAGCCATTTACAGGAACAAAAAGCAATAGATCACACTGATTTAAACAATCAATTATATTTAACTAAAGAATCATGTATTCAAAACATTGCATTTTTAACCTGTAGATACAAAATTACTAGTAATGTGTCTAACATTCTTTTTTTTCTTGCTAAAGTTTTTAAATCCAGAGTGAATGTTATACTTCCACACAATCTTTCTAGGACAATACGTGTGCTGAACCCAATACATTACAATTTATCTGCTCTGTTGCCCATTATTTTACCTTTTCCAATACCCAGTTTCTTTACTTTATAATGCCAATATTTTGCTTGCTTTTTTTGCATCATGCGAATGCTGTGGTTTAGATATAGTTTGTCCTCCCAAAGGTTTACATGCTATCATCTAGGTCCTCAATGAAGTAGTGAAAATTTGGAGCCATGGAGCCCGAAGGGCAATCATCGAACCACAGGAGTATCCCTTTGGAAGTGAGTGAGTAGTTCACATGGGGCCTCATTTTTAACTGATTTTCTGTCCTGCAATGTGATGGTTCCCTCTCTCTTGTGCTCCCACTGCAATGCAATCTGCTGATGCCATCCAGCCAAGGAGGCCTTGCCAGAGCCAGAGCTGTGTGTTTGAACTTTCCATCTTCGAAGCTGTTCGCTTAATTACATTATTTTCTTGTAAAGCTACTTAGCCTCAAATAATTTGTTCCAATAAAAGCAAAAAGACAGGTAAAGAGCCGTAAGGGACAGATTTCACATTTGTGACACATTAAAACTGAATTCTTCACTCTGGATTTGCTCCTAATGGGGTTTGAGTTTTCTACTTGTGGAATAAAGTGGGTCCATTTATTAACAGAACACCTCAAACAGAAAGCCCTGTGAATCTTGCCCTTCTATTGTCCTCATTCACAGGCCTTCTATGGAAAGTATAATCCAGGATCAAGGTATAAAGAAAGCTTGGAAGCCCAGCGCGATGGCTCAGTTGGCTAATCCTCCCCCTTTAAGTGTTGAGATCCCATGTGGACATTTGTTTGTTTCCTGGCTGCTCCACTTCCCATCCAGCTCCCTGCTTATGGCCTGGGAAAGCTGTAGAGGATGATCCAATTACAAAAATGTCTTCTTTTTGTTCTTTAATAAAAGCTCAATCAGGAAATGTTTCATTTTCTCTTGTGGTTATTAATATCAAATTGTCACCCCATTGTAGCTTTAGGATGTCTTTACTCAAGAATAGTCCAAGAGAGAATGAAAATGTGGCAAGTGAGGTATGTGACATGCTTCTCCAAACATCGCCTTGTAAGCAATGTTAGATGCACAACTGATAAGTTAATGTGTTTCATTAAATATTTAATAGCCAATAAAGTCTCATTTTGAAAGCAAACAAAACAGCAACACTGAAATCTTACACTTTTGTGTTGATGTATTTTTGAAGTCTATTAAATTTTAATCTTAGTATCTGGATTTTCCAATAAATCAGCTTTTTTGAGATTTATTTATTTTTGTTGGGGAGGCAAATTTATAAGAACAGAAGAGATAGAGAGAAAGATCCTCCATCAACTGGTTTGTTTCTCAAGTAGTCATGACAGCTAGCTGTAAGCTGATCTGAAGCCAGGAGCCAGAAGCTTCTTCCAGGTCTCTCATGCAGTTCCGGATCCCAAGGCTTTGGCCCATATTCTGTTACTTTCCCAGGCCACTAGCAGGGAGCTGAATTAGAAATGAAGCAACCAGAATATTAACTGGCACCCACATTGGATCCCGGGGCTTGAGGGGGAAGAATCAGTTGAAGTATTGTACCAGTCCCAAAGACTAGCTTTTTGTTGTTAAATCTTGTTGTGCCTTGGAATGCATTGTGTATGTGCTTAGTTATGAAATCATGGGGAGAGACAGAAAAAACTGTTGTATTACTAGAATTTATTGTATGTCTCCTTCTTGAAGGTGGAGGTCATTTTACGATTCTATTAAAAATAAATGTTAATTAATTACTTTTTGATTATTCTATGAACATTTATGACAATTAATATAGGCTGTGTAATTATAATATTAATTTATAATGACCTTAAAATCCATAGAAGACTATTTAATCTTTATAAACTGGATGTTTTTCCTCATTGTGGATTGATATTAACCTACTTCTCTGCACTATGTTTGTGAAAGTCCTGCCCACATGGTGATTTAGTGGAGGAGTCTACTTACTGGCAGTGATGGCAGTCTTCCAGAATTCAATTGATTCCCACAAAGATACCTCTGCAAAAACAAATCTCCAAGGGCCTGGCGTGGTGGCGCAAGTGGTTAAGGTCCTTGCCTTGCATGCCCAGGATCACATATGGGTGCCGGTTCTAATCCCGGCAGCCTGCTTCCCTTCCAGCTCCCTGCCTGTGGCCCAGGAAAGCAGCCGAGGATGGCCCAAGGCTTTTGTGGCCCAGGAAAGCAGCCAAGGATGGCCCAAAGCTTTTGGACCCTGCACCCGTGTGGGAGACCTGGAAGAGGCTCCTGGCTTCAGATTGGCATAGCATTGGATGGAAGATCTTCCTCTCTGTCTCTCCTCTCTGTATATCTGCCTTTCCAATAAAAAAAAATAATAAAAATAAATCTTTAAAAAAAAAACCCAAACCTGAACATGGCACAGTAGGAAAGTTATCCATCTAAGGATACCAGAGTTAGATCCAACATCTACTTCTGTTATCACCGGCCTTTTCTGTTTTTAAAGACTTATTTATTTTTATTGGAAAGGAAGATTTACAGAGAGAGAAGGAAAGACAGATGGAAAGATCTTCCATCTGCTAGTTCACTCCCCAAGTGGTTGCATGGTCATAACTGAGTTGATTTGAAGCCTGAAGCCAGAAGCCAGAAGCCAGAAGCCAGGAGCTTCTTCCAGGTCTCCCAGGTAGGTTTTGAGTCCCACAACTTTGGACCATCTTCTGTTGTTTTCCCAGGCGACAAGCAGGGAGCTGGATGGGAAGTGGAGCAGCCAGAACATGAACCAGCATGAGTATGGGATCCTGCTGCTTGAAGCAGGAGGAGTAGCCAATTAAGCCATTGTGCTTGGTTCTGTTTTCACTGGTTATTGGATAACACTGGCATGGAAGTCTTTGCTGCTTTTAATTATGCTTCTGAGATATTGATCTGTCCACTGATCTACTCCCCAAATGACCCCAACAGCAAGGCCTAATCTGGAATGAGGCCGTGAGTTTTCCTCGTGCATGCCTGGGGTCTAAGTACTTGGCTCATCTTTCCCTGATTTTCCTGTGCATTACCAGAGAGCTAGATTGGAAGCAGAGTAGCAGGTTCTTGAATAAAAACTCTGATACAGGATTCTGTTGTTGTGGGTTGTCACTTAACCAGTCGAGCAGCTTCAGTCTTTGGTCTTTTCCTCCTAAATTGTGTTCCTTTATGCCAAATCCATTATGATACTGCATCATGATTGGCATTTAAAAACCAACTGAAGATGTTCTCAATTGTTAACAGTTGTAGTGATAATTTTTGCTTTATATGACAGTCAATTCTGCTGCTGCTGTTATCACTATCATTAGTTAAGCTGCCATTTATGAAAACTCTCAAGCCTTCACTTTAACCGAAGCAGGTGCCTCTTTAAGACATAACTTCCTCTCAATATCTTGTTTGTCCTTTTCCTATTCTTTCTCCCTGACCAGGATTCACTCTGCTTATACTCTAAATACATTTGTAAAAGGGCTTATTTTTATCTGGTGACATATCTGAGCAAACTGAGCTTGTAATGCTGTTTTGCCTCATAGTTTAGTTTCTTCTCTGGAATTAATCTCTCTGATTACAAATTGCAAAAATTTAGAGTTGAATTTGTTCACAAAACTGCATCACACATAGGTTAACTGCCACACCAGTATCACCTGCTCTCTGTCCACCTAATCCACACACCAAAAAAGTACCTCTGAAATGTAGGCTATGCTCATCTTGAATGTAAACCACAGGTTGATGAACACTTTTCTTTTTAATCTCCAGAATATTACCTGCCTCTAGCATGCGACTTGTATATAACAAGAGAAGGGTCACATATGATTCAGCCAACAATTGTTTTATTCAGATCACTGATCTGGAAGCATGGACAAGGCAAGAGTCAAGTTCTTCCAGACTTTGCTCATCTGGTCTCTGTCCCATTCTCTGTCCAACATGTTGTGTTGATCCACTCATTAAGGAACTTGTCAAGCAAGAACAGAAACTCTCCTTTGTTTGCCTTGGATTCATTTAGTAAATGTAAACTTCAGGATTATTGGTTGTAAAGCATTGGATTTCTCAGTGTGGGCCATAAAGAATGCAACATGTGGTTCCCATCCTGAGATGGTCACCTCTGCTCATATACATCTGACTTTTTGACCCAAGCTCAGGGGGAAGCCGTAGAATCTGCTTGCTTCTTCTGGACAGGTCTCCTAAAGTAAGAAAGCTGGGAAAATTGAAATTTGATACCTTCAAAAACCTGTCTTCTTTTCCAGACTCCCTTTATTTTGTTCCCCCAATTACATTTTATGTGGTATCCAAACTACGTTTTACTTCCCTTATACCCAAGCTGCCTTTTCCTACCTTTGTGCTTATGGGAACGCTTCCTTGTGCATCTGCCTGTTCTGCCTGCCATCATAAGGGCTGATGGTTCCCTTCTATTCCAAAGGATTATTTCAAAAATCTATCTTTTAGTTCAGAAAGATCCTTTTGTGTCTGGGATGCAGCAAAATGACATAAAACCTAAGCCCTTTGGAGCTTAAAGAACTCTCATTTTATGTCCAGTTCTCCTGCTGACTGTGATGTTCTGTTGGAAGAATTAATCAAAATTAATGATGTTTAATGAGCTTCAGTTTTCACATTTGCAAAATGGACATTAATATTACCACAAAAATGATTATAGCTTCCTGGTGAGATGGTTTACATAAATGACAACATAGTGCCTGAAAGTCTATGAATTCTCCATAAATGACCCTAAACATCAGCATCCTGTCTTTGAAAGCTGAATTATTAAATGATGTGCTGTATAGTTGTTGGCCATGTTATCTCCTGCTAGATTCCAAACAGCTTAAAAATAGACAAGATGGCTTATTCACGCAGGATTCCCTGCAGTCTTGCACAGTGCTTTATATGCAGCAGTTGCTCAGGCATATTGGATCCATCAAGACATTACAGTAAAAATACAAGTGATCATATGTCTGGGAAGAGCCAGGCTCAGCAGGGAGAAGAGCTTGCCTGGGGGGTACAAAGCCCAGGTTCCTTAAGTTCTTTGCCTTAGCTCAGCAAGGCTTCCAAGGGCGAAATGATTGAAAGAGCAAACAGCAGGCTTCAGGTGCAGGCTGATGTGATTTAGAGACAGGGAATGACCTCTGCAGGGGGTCACCCACAAGATGAATCAGGAAAACGAGAACAGAGATGGAGCCAGCTGCTTCCAGATCTTTAGACATTTTAAACAAGGAGGGGAGACTCAGTTTTACCCAATTAATCTTTGATGATTTATCCTTTGAATAGCATCTAGAAGGAGCATTTTGAGGTAAATTAATTGATCTACCCTGGCCTTTTACCCTAATAATATCATGTAAAAAATATGGCTTAGCAAGATAAGCCATTTGGAACGCCTGCAGCCCATATCTGCGTGTCTAGGATCGAGTCCCACTTCCACCTCCAATGCAGCTTGCTGTGAATGTGCACCAATCGGCTCCGCAGGTGCTGGGGGGGCTCCAGATGGATCTCCTGGGTCCTGGCTACCAACTAGCCGAGCCTTGTCAGCACAGGAGTTGGAGAGTGAGTTGATAAGTGAAAAATTTCTCTCTATGTGTTCCGTATCTATTTTGTATTTTGTTCCTTGAATACATAAAAACAAATACACATTATCTTAAAAAAATTTAAATGAACTTTAAATGATTACTGTTGTGACATACAAACTACTAAAGATCATCAGTTTATTTATTTTATTTATTTTTTTCTTATTTTTCTTTTTTCCTCATTTTATTTATTTATTTATTTATTTATTTATTTATTTTTACATTTTATTATTATTGCTATCATTTTATGATTCAGGTCCATATTCCCTTATTCCCTCCCCAATTCCCTTCCCCCCAGTTCCCATCAGTTTATTTCTTTTTATTAAAGATTTATTTTTATTTTTTTTTTTATTGGAAAGGCGGATATACAGAGAGGAGAGATAGAGAGGAAGATCTTCCGTCCGATGATTCACTCCCCAAGTGAGCTCAATGGCTGATGCTATGCCAATCCGAAGCCAGGAGCCTCTTCCAGGTCTCCCAGCGGGTACAGGGTCCCAAAGCCTTGGGCTGTCCTCGACTGCTTTCCCAGGCCACAGGCAGGGAGCTGGAAGGGAAGCGGGGCTGCCGGGATAGAACTGGCGCCCATATGGAATCCGGGCGTGTAAGGCGAGGACCTTAACCACTGCGCCACCGCGCCGGGCCCTTGGAAAGGTTTAGTTTTTTAACTAATAAATAACACTAGTTTTTTTCAGCAGTAACTTGAAACATACTAAGGCTGAAACATCCCTGTTTTAGCAATTAAATGTTGAATGACAGGTGTCAAGGAACTGTTGGTTGTCTTTAGAGCAGTTAGTTGTTATTTTCTTTTATTGTCTCTATACATTAGGAAATCTCAGGCACATGTGGCCATGTTCAGGGATAAAGTGGGCCAGGAAGTGAGAAGTGGAAGCATGAAATGTTCTTCCATTTTTTTTCTCTATCTGCAGAGAGGGGAGGGTTACATGATACCATTTCTACCACATGATTATTAATTCTGAGTTTGTTTTTTCCTCATACGATTTGAGTAATTAGTGGTGAGTATTACAGTACTTTTTAAGTGCAGGTATTGGTCTTCTGGCAGGTCCTGAAATCAATTTTAATGGTTGAAATTAGAATATTTATAAAAATTATGAATAAGACAAAGTAGTAAAGATAAATAAAATAGGAAGCATCTGAATGCATTATGCAGTAAGAACACATTGTGATGGAGTGCAGCCAGTGATTGCTCCTTCACCTCTCCTTCTATACTCTTCCCCCCACATCCTAATTCATCCTGGATGTTGGACGCAGATGAGTCCAATTTGTCTTTTTAGGTACAAGCCCAGTTCCTGTTCCTGCCCATCCCAATGAGCGCCAATTAACTCCTTAACTCACAACACTTAGGTATTTGCTGCTGCCCACCTGTGACTCGTCTATCAAATTGGACGGGACGGTATTGCATTGTTGCATAACCACACCCCTCAGAAGCCCCTTTAAAAGATCCATGAAGCGGGGGCTCACTCACTCTTTCTGGTCAGGTGTTTCCATTACTCTGGCACCTCCACTCTTGGCTGATCCAAGACAGGTAATCCCCTGAGCATGGTCCCTGTATATTGCTTTGATTGGACTTGTGATCTGTTATTTTAGTATGTTCTGTTATCACCAAGCTTGGTTAATAAAGACTCCTTAATAAAACCTTAGACATGTCTGGTGTGATCTCGCTTGCACCCCATAACAACATTCTATAAACTTTGATTTGTGTTTTGTGTGTGCATAATGCCTATGTGTCTAATGAGCTGGGACATAAATGTAAATTTTCAATGTGATCATAGCTCAAAAGTGGATAGTTACTGGATTTCTTTTATTTCATGCTATATTATTCATCAATCAACGATGACAATATAGTTTTGGTCTGTTGTCAATGGATAAGGTTTTTTCCTACAGTACCAGCACCGTGTATAGGTTCATGTCTCTGTGTACTAATTGTTCCACTTCTAATTCAGCTTCCTGTAATGACTTGGGCAAAGCAGGAGAAAATTGCCTAAGTTTGCATCCCTGCCACCTACACGGAAGACCCAGCTGAAGCCACTGAATCCTGGCCAATCCAAGCCTGGGATATTGCAGCCATCTTGGGGAGTGAAACAGCAGGTGGGAGATCTCTCTTTCTTCTCTTGTCTCTCCCTTTCTCTCTCCTCCCTAACTCTGACTTTAAAAGTAAATAAATAAATCTGAAAAAAATATTCTTGACCAATGAGATATTGAGGGATGTCTTGTAGGATGGGCAGATAAAGGGAGACAGGCATATGAAGAGATTCTTTATTCAAAAGCATCAAACAATGTGAATCTCTGATCTTGTTTGCCAACTGCCCCCACACACATTTAAGTGTTATTTTGCTTCCTGGGATGGCAAAATCATTCTATAGTTATGAAAGAAGTTTAGAATCATGCTTAACCTAGCAAAAATGGGAAGCCACAAGGAATCTAGGTTACAGATGTGGTATTAAGTTGTGGTGGTAAATATTTCTGGAATTGTCCCACTTCTGGGCTTATTATATATGGTATAATAAATACTCCTAAGTTTTAAATAGCTTGAGTTGCTTTGATACTTAAAGCTTAAAGCATCTTAAAGGATAAAGAGGATTTATTTCAAAAAGGATGAATAAATTAACTCCTAGCACGGAGAGAAAATGCACAATGATCAGATCATGAAGCTTTCCACTCCAGGTTCAGTCAATGCCAGTGCAGGCTTCCATTGTAAGATCAACTCAATGATAGTTTACCTGGGGTTGTATTTCTAGAGGCCTCTAACTTGTTAGCTGAGTTACTTTAAGAAAGTTAAAGCATTTGAAACATCATGGTAGACTACTAGACTGGAGTTGTTATCTGAAAGGAATTGGAGATAGGAGACATGGGAGGCAGTAAAACTAGTTAGATGACTGCTATGGCAAGCCATGGGTGAACAATGAGTACCTATGCTAAGGAAGCACAGAGGAAAAGCAGGCCTGATAGACCAGATATGGGAGATAACGCTGGGAAGGTGATTGAATCTGGCTCTATAGTTTCAGGGTTAGATGTCTGGATTGCGGAAGTGGATGTGTAGTGGGGTGACTTTTTAGTCTTAGGCTCTTTTCCTCAGCAAATGGTGTTGTATTTATGATTTCCTCATGTCACCCTAGCTTTATGGATGGGAAGTCAATGTCCAAAAAGTTAAGGGGTTTCTAATGAACGGTGTAGTAAATGACACAACCAATGTTTAGTCCCAGGCTTTTTAAATTCAACTCCTTCCTTTGTCCCATTGCACTTTTTTTTTAAAGAGACTTATTTTTAACAGATGTTTTTATTTATTTGAAATACAGTGAGACAGAGAGGGAGAGTTTTTATCATTGAGTTCATTCCTCAAATTCCTGCAGCAGCCATCAAAACTGAAGTCAGGAGCTAGGAACTTCATTCAGAACTCCAACATTTGTAGCAGGGCTCACGGCACTTGGGCCATTCGCTGCTACTTTCTCACATGCGTTATCAAGGAGCTGGATCAGAAGAAGTGAGGCTGGGCCTGCACTGGTTCTGAGATATGGGGTGCTAGCATTATTACAGGCAGCAGCTTCTGAATTAAAACTGAATTGAAACAAACAACACCAGGAAAGTCGTAAAGAGATGATGTTATTCAGGGAGAAGACAGAAGTCCTGATCCATAATTCAGATGGGAATCAAAAGAAGGAGAGAGTCCTGGCTTAAGGTTAGTGCCTTTTAGAATGACAACTTCCTATTGGAACAAAACCGTGGAGGGAGAAAATGAAAGCAAGCATTAGAGGAAGCGATAGGAAGTTTGCAGAGTTTCAGAGAGGAAAATCAGCAGAAGAGAAATGTAGTAAAACCCAGTGGAGGAAGGCACAAAGGGATGTTTTCATAGTTTAACAACTGGAGATACGGGAAGTGAAAGCTGAGAGCAAACTCAAGGTATCCATATACAAGGTATAATGGTGAGTAGGGAAAATTGTGGGCACCTGTTGTGAAATTTAGTGTGAATTCATAAAATAAAATTGACAAGGAAGGGGTATTTGTTTTTCCTTTTCAAGTAGGAAGAAAGGAAGATAATTTGAAAATATTTGCACAAGGGAAGTAAGTGCAAGATAGAAGTAGAGAGAGAGATTGATGGCATAGATAGATAGGTAGGTAGATAGATAATGCCTGAAATCACTCCTACAACACAGGGAGGATTTAAGTGTGGAAAAAAGGAGAGCCATGCAATCCCTGTTGAGTTAAAAAGTCATGGAACTCATACACATAGATGGCATTACAACTCCATAGGAGGTGAGTGGAAAGGTAAGTGAATGGTGTCTACAAGTCAGGAAAAAATATAGGCTGAAACTTGTCCAGTTTTGATACCTAACGACTTTGGGAGAAAGAGAGGAGAGAATGTCCTTTGGAACAGATACAGCTTTGTTTCCTGTGACCAGGAAAAATGCACAGGGGGGTTCCTGAAGCAGCATGGACTCGTGTTAGAGTCCATTCTCACACAGTGCATTCCAACAAACACGGCTAGTGAGGCATCAGGATTCCAATCATGCCAAGTCTTCAATCAGTTTGCCATAGAACTTGGATTTCTTCTATATGTTTACTGGGATACATTGATTATGGCTCCTTAGAATTTTGCTGTGGAAATTTAACAGCAACAACAATAAAATGATGGTGATACAGCACTGATAATGAAAACCCATAATGATAACAATATCTGTTACTCTTAATCTGTAACTATCCAGTCTATTCCATGGCTTTTCTATGGTGGGGTTGATATTCTCGTTTTCCAGTCTTTTAAGTGCGAGCACTTAAAAAAATTGAATGAAAAACTGGACATTGAAGTTATGTTTCTATGGAAATAAATTTTTAGAGCAAAAATTTTGAAAGCTACATACTTTTTTTTACAATATGCTCTTTCGTGAGCTTTTTGAAAGTAGTATGTTAATTTATTTACCCTTTCCACCAATTTTATGAGGTTTCAATAAGACTGAAGTTTTATGCCAGTTTACAGAAGGAACTGAGGTACAGGAAATTTAGTTTTACCGCTAGTAAATGAGACAGCCAGGATTCAATCTAAGCAGTCTGGCTCCAGAGAAAGTTTTAAAAACACAGAGTCTGATATTTTGCAAAATATTATTGCAAGAGAAATGAGATGAGGTAAAAAGATTTTCAATAAGCAATTTTCAACAGAGGATCTATTTTGAATATATTTACTTGTTTGATTACATATTTTTCTAAGCTTGGTAGGTTATTAATAACATTGTGATCCAATTAGGGTTTTCTTTTTCCACTTGGAAAACAGGACTTTCCATCTTCATGTAATTTCCTAAGGAAGATAAAGCTCTGATGTGGCTCCCTGGTATTTATTTCTGTGAGCATGGCATGCCCTGGGAAGGATGTGTCTGCTCTGATGAATTGCTCCTGCAAACAGGGGATGGCAGCTGCTGCCTCCAGCTTCCTGGCTGACCTTAGCCTGTCCAAGTTATCAGGAAAAGATGACTGAATTGAAGAGAATACAGATATTTTAAGGACTAAAGAAAATTCTCCATGATTTTATTCATAAAAAATACATGGAATCAAATTTCGAATATTTATCCTCAGTGCTTCTTTTCAGTGCCTTTTGCCTCAATAGCAGTTGCATTAGATTATAAGCAGATTACACTGGGTTGGTGACATCTCATAACAAGAGCTGTATAGCAATGATATGGGGTCCCAGACTGTTTATTAAAGCGTTTTAAAGCTGCTTGGGAGGCAAGCATTGCTTTCAGTACTGCAGCGGCTTGAAGAGGTCTATTTGTAAAATCTTCAAATTTGATTGGCTACAGTTCAGAATTGCTGTAGCTACCTGGGAATTTGATTGAAGTAAAGTTTAAGGAAGTTAAGTCAGGGTGACATCCTCTCTGAGCTTCATCAACATGCCAACGATGCAGGGCTTAATCACCATCCTGTAATCAGGATAGGAGCTGGGGGTCTGCTCCCACTGGTACAAGTAAGATTTGGAGATTTGGAAATGGCAGTGAGTCTACAAGTGATGAACCAATGCTCTCAATTCCGGGACTTTGTAACTCCCGTAAGGTGGTGTTAGAGATTATCTTGTCAGTTTCCTATCACACACAGCCACAATCTCAGATTAGTGTTCTATAGAGTGAGCAATAACATTTTGACACTCCAAACAGGTATACTTTCTCTTTTGAAGCTTGTCTGCATGCTTTTAAGAGAAGCTTCTGTGAAAACAAAAAAGAAGTTACTGATTCAGAGCCATGAGAGCTGAACAGTAGGACCTGGGAAAGCCAAGAAACCAGGTCAGCACATTGGGTGTCAGCCCAGGCAGAAGTCCGCTGCATAAACCAGCTACCTGGTGCTGGGTGTCCAGGGACAGAACAATTCCAATCCAACAGAAAAGGGGGTGGATTGAAAAATCAAAGCACTTCGAAGTCTGAAAACACAGCTCAGACTCTGAGGGAGGTAAATTTGCCCTCTAGTTAGGCTTCAATTTGTTAGGTTTGTTAGATTCTATTTGGTTTCATAAAATATGTTTACAATCTATTTGCCAACCTTATCTGTTTTACATATTTGCCAAAAAATAAAATGCTGCATCAAATGCAGAATAAATGGATCTCTGATGTTAAGCAGCGAACATGTCAATACTTGATGCCATCTGTGGACAGGAATTCCGTGGGCTTTCACTTTTTCACAGAATGGAGGCATCTATTGACTTAACTTACAAAATCTACCTTGAATGTATATCCAGGTCCACTTTTGTTCTACCGAATCAAACAACACCTTACCTGTTTTTCAGTTAGTATCTTCATTACTTTAGGAGAATCACAGCGAATCAGGTTTATGATACACTTTACTATTGCCAATGTTTGAATGTCATATTGACAATATTTACCATGAAAGTGAACCATCCCACTGCAATTTTTGTAGTTTTGAATTTTTGCTGAACTTTACCCTAAGCGGTTGTGCTCCTACTGTCAAAAGTGAATGTGGTATGCGTATGTACACGTGTGCTTGTAGGTCTGGGCTTCTCAACCTCTCTGATCTCTGTGGAATCAGAATCATTTCCGTTTCTAGAATTTTTTAGATTTTGAAATATATAAACACACATAATGAGATGACTTGGGGAT